CTAAGTATTGTACTCAGCCCATTAGTGGCCCTATTCCGCCTAAAGAAGGCATGATTATTGTAATGGGCCTCCTAAGCCCAAGGCTAGGAGCCCAAATCCACATTTTTACCTATAAATAGACCCCTAGGGCTAATTATAGGGGGTTCAGAAATATTAATTACTCACTTTCTCTCTCCCTAGCTCTCAGTATTGTTTTGTTGATGACAAATAATTAGTGTTAATTTTGGATATAAGTGATCGCACGAAAAGAATGTAAGTCGTGCTCTGGAACAAGCCGTAGAACTAGTCCAAGAACTGATTGCGAATCCATGATTGATTAAATTGGTTTACTTATAAATACCTTTTCTCTCCATTCAAATTCGGTTATGTCTTGCTAAACTAAAGAGAATTTTGTAGAAAGAAAATAATCAATGATCATACAAAGAAATGATTTTTGTCTTTAAATGAAAGTTAATTAAATTAAAGCCATTAATTAAGAGATCTTTCCACAAAGCAAGTTTCCAAAAATAAAAGAAGTTATTCAAAATTCAAATTGGGTTTTCGTGCATCTCCTCTCACAAGGAATGTTTTCTTAAGAAAAATATTTTCCTTCAAACAAATGAAAAGAATGTCTTTTAATACCTACAAGGAAATATTTTTTAAAATAATTTTAATGCAAAGAGGACCGAAATATATATGGAGATCCTAGCACATTAAGGAGAGTACATCAAGTCATGATCTAGCAAATTTAAGAAAACCAAGCTCAAAGGAAAGAATCCATCCTCAAAGGTAAATATACAACAAAGGAGATTTTGACCAAGGAAAGATTTTAAATGTCATAGAATCTTGACAACTCCTAGACATCCCTATATATGGCCAAGCTCGTGCATGAAAACGGGGGTGGTCGAACCGAGAAGGAAATACTCAAAGAAGAAGAGACATATACAAGGATGCCCTAGAAGACCGAGTACCGGTGATAGTTTTTTTTTAAATGAAAAGAAACTTTATTAAATGAGAAATGGAAAGTACATGGAAAAGATAAAAAAAACAAGGAAACAAAAGGAAAAGAGGAAACAAATTAAACTTAAAACTTAAAAAAAAGAAAAAGAATGTTTTCCTCCGAGGGTTGGGGTGTGAAGTGAGAGATTTGATGTAAAGCTGAGAGACTCCTTACCCACAAGGTAAGGTAATGAGAACTCTACCTAAAGATGTTAGAGTTGGGGTAGCTCAAGAGTTAACTAGGAGAGTTTATCTTGTAACTTGTTTAAAGACTTTCAGTGAAGAGTTTTTGGAATTCCTCCGTGGGAGGTCAACGTTTTTTCATCTCTGTTGAGTCAGGGGATTTTTTTCTCGTTAAATTTGTGTCCTTTTATTTATGTTTTTCCTTACCCCGCACTAGTACTTGACAAAAAACTGTTAGAGTTCTACACACCTACAATACCCCCCCCCCCCCCCCCCCCCCGTGTGTGATTCAACTAGTTCATCAATAATCCTATCTTTTACCGGTCTTCTCATAATAATCCCACTTTTACGTAATCCAAAATATTCCCACATTTGCACGCCATCTTCTTTCATTGGAACCTGACTGGTTGATGGCCTACCATACCAGGTTTATTTCCTTTAGCAAATCTGATCAAAATAGTCTCACATTTCAGTTTTTTTTCATCTTCTTATTTTTTCATTTCTTTAAACTATTTATGTTTTTACTTTCCTTTTCTTAACACTTTTTTTATTTCTTCTTCCCCATTTTTACCTTTTTCCTTCTTATGTATTATTATCCGACTACTTCTCTTTTAAAGACTATTATCCCGCATTACTCGTTATTATTTTATTTGTTTTTATTTTCTTTTATTTAAATTCTCCTTTTTCTTATTTTTCCCATATTCACCTTCCTAATAAGTATTTGTTTTCTTCTTTCACCCTTTTCACCCCGTCCTTTTTGGTGGTTTTTGACATGTTGTGAATAGTGACGATTTCTTGATCTTGATTTCTTCTTACTTTTTCCTAAGGGATGCACTTGACATTTGATCGACTGCTGCCTCGGGATGCACTTGACATTTGTTGAGCAGCATTTGCGATCCGTAAGGTACGCTTCAAGCAAAGCAGGACCCTCTAAGCCTATCTCCATCCCTGATGTGATCATCTACCCAAAAGAGGTGTGAGCAAGCATAAACATCATTACACTGATCTGGTTCCTTCAAAAGGGTTGCAGAGTACCCGGTGGGCTTGTGCGTTAATGCATCTTCAGAGTCGCTTACCCTCAGATGTCTTTTTCCGTTTAATCTTTCTGCAATTTTTTATGTTGAAAAGTGAGGCATTGCATTTGAAAGGAAATCTCATCCAAATGGAGATGTGGTCTCCTATGGAATTTAAAAGTAAGGGCAATTTGGTCAAATCACATGTAGTTAAGTCTTACGCTAATATATAGTCTTAATTTTGGAAAATTAGTATGATTAGGTCCTATATGTAAAATTTTCCCAAAGACATAATAAAGAAGATAAAGTAAATGATATTATCAATATTTTATATTTATAGTGAGAGTTTAATTGCTAAAAACCCATAGGGGTTTCTTTATTAAAAAATATGACAACGTGAAAGGATAATTGCAACAATAAGAGTTTAATATTATAATTCCTAAAATATGACTAACTCTTCCTATTCTACAATTTCTCTTGTCCTACCTAATAGGAATTTTTAAATAATCATTACAAAACATAAAAAAATCGTAAAAAATAAATAAAAAATATACATACCTCAAACACCACCTCAACCACTTTCCAGCACGGCCACCTCCGGTCGCCGGAAAAGATTGCCAAGTTGGGAAAAAATGTCATCGTGATGACAATTTTGAAAATAAAGATGGATATTTTCAAACAGTAAAAATGTCATCTTCATGGCCTTTTCAGAGAAATGCGACATTTTTTACACAAATGGCATTTTTCAGGCGATCTGATGTGGTGGTGCTAGGAGGCGGGGGATGCAAAGGTAGTGGCCTACATATTTTTTAAGAAAAAGAGTCAAATACACCCTCCTACTATATCAAATACATCATTCCAATCCCTCTACTAAAATAAGCATCAAAGTAACACACTTACTATTAAAAGGCATCAATTGGGTGAAATTACCTGATGACCACTCCCTATAGCGGATCATTCCTCTTTTTTTTTTTTGGCAAAAGCGGGTCATTCCTTTTTATTTACTTTTTCAATTTTCTCTTTCTTTGTGTCTTACGTAGCACAAGAGTATTTCGTACTTCATAGTTCATGCTCTCTTTCTTATCAACCATGTTTGATGTACCCACTCTTATACTCACCTTATACCCACCATGTTTGTGAAGTTTTTTTTTGTCTGTGAACCCAGTTCACAGACAATATTTTTTTTGTGCAAAATATTGTCTATGAACCGGGGCTCATAGACAAAAAAAACCTTCACAAACATGGGTAGGTACAAAAGTGGGTATAAGAGTTGGTACAAACATCATTTTTGCTTTCTTATTTGTGTTTTCTTCTTCAACAATGCTTGATATACTCACTCTTATACCCACCTTATACCCACCATGCAAGGGCGGATCCAGGAATGAGAAATGGGGTGGGCTAAGTGATAAAAGAAATTGTACTATGCATACAAGGTTTAGCTTAGGGTTGTTACCGGGGTTTTTTTCAAACTGTATACTCGAGTTTGAACTTAATTTCTAATCTAATTTAATGACCCGACTTTAATGATCTCCGAACTCGAACATAGACTACGTTTTGAGTTTGAATAATAAATCAAATCGAATTCGGACATAGTGATGTGTGGTTCGATCTGGACTCAAGCATATTGTTCACTTATAAATTATAGAAATAAATTGTATTACCTCGGTTCTTTTTTAGTTGCAACATCGTGAATTTTGCGCTATTCACATACTCTACTTTGACTACATTTTATTTCTTCATGTATTATAAATTAACTTTTTGAAAATTATTTGTTAAATTCCTCTCATTTTAAAATTTCAAAATATGATATTTTTAATTTTTTTACTAACAAGAAATGAAAGACGTTAATGGTTAATCTTGTGTGTTAGCCAACGTGAATAGTCGACCGTTGCAATTTAAAGAGAGCGGATGAAGAATATATCCCAAAATTTTAACGTTTTAGTGCAATTTTTAGAATTTATTAATGATTATTAAAGATTTGTGTATTTATTGAATAATTCAAACATGAATCTACTAAAGAGTATAGCCTAAACTTCTACATTCAATATTGATATGAATTAAAATACTTCTATAAAATTATAAAACTAATAAGGAAAAAACGGTTGTAATTTTAAACCTATAAGTATTTCCAATTTCAAAATTCAGTTGAAAATTTTAATTCCTTCTTACGTGTTCACACAATAAATAAATCATTCTCTAATTTTCAAATCTTTAAAAATGCATAAAAAAATTCACTCTGTAATTTCTAATTCTATCTTTAATCATTGTAAATTTATAATGAATTAATGCTATTTTATTATGTACTGAATACTCAATTAATTATCAAATAAATTTACAAAACTGAAAAAATAATAATACGGAGTACACAATTACACAAATTAAAGTCACAAAATGAATTATATGTTGTAAAGACCGGACCGGAGAGTGACCCGGAGTGATGACTGGGTCAAGCATCAACCTGGACCCGGCGGATCAGCTCGGTCAACAACCGTAAAACCCGATCAACACACACAAACACACACACACACATGGAAAAATCTTAAGTATATTAGGTTAAATTCATAAATAGAAAAATCTCATCCCTTCATAATTTCATATTGATAATACAATATAATCTAATTAAATAATCATTTTTTTGCAAGATAAAAAAATGATTATTTTAGAATTGTATTTAAAAAAAATTAAAATACATTTGGATATAGATGGAACATAAATAATTGAATATAATATGACATCAATTGCAAAATCTTAAAATTATAACAGAAATATATTTTCACTTAGAATTGAAATATGATATACGGAGTATATATCTGGGAAGTATAAATTGGTGGGTTTCCATTGTTATTTTTATTATAATTTTTTTAATTAACTAATTAATTAATGCTTAAAAATGCTTTGTGATTTACAATGGTAGTTATAATATTGACAAAGGTGCAAACTTCAACAACATGTTGGGGTGGAATAGTGGATAAGAATATAAGATGTTGAGTTACTTGCCAGAGGTTTATGGGTTCGATTATGTGGACTGCATCTTCTCGCAAAAATCAGTCATTTTTTACTTCCAAACTGCCGCCTTGTTCACACAAGAAGTCGCAGGTTTGCTTGACCAGAATAATCTGGTATTAAGCTTGGGCTGGGCTGGGATTAAATTCGGGATGGGCTGGACCTTTGGGCTTTACCTATACTAATTTAAAGAAAAATATTTGGGTTGGGCTAGAGCCCACATCCGCCCCTGCCACCATGTTTGTAAAGTATTTTTTGTGTCTGTCCACACGGTTCACAGACAATATTTTGTTTGTGCAAAATATTGTTTGTGAACTGGGGTCCACAGAAAAAAAAACACTTCACAAACATAAATAAGTACAAAAGTAGGTACAAAAGTGAGTACAAACATCATTTTTGTTTCTTCTTTTCCTTTTCTTTCTTTTTACTCCGTATTCTTTTGTCTTCAACTATGTAGCATTACAGTACTTATAATAATGTACAAATTTGTCTCCTTATTTTTACTTTACTTCTCATTAATATATACTCCCTTTATATGACTTTCATTTTTATATTTTCCCACTTTCTCTCTTAATGTATGAATTATCTACACTATTCATTACTCTTATTACTTTTTTCCTTAAATATTTTTTTTATGATTCCTTAAATATTTTGTGCACCCTAATTTTATAAACAAAAAATGTCGGTTGACGGTTGTTTTTGGACAATACTTTCGTACTCTACATATACAAAGTTATACGTAGTCTCCCTAATCTCAAGATCTCGCTGACTTTCTTTCTTTTTTGTTTTTGTTTTTTAATTTCTTTTCTTTTTTTTCACTAGAATGTTCAAATTTATCTTCCTCCTTTTCTTTTTACTTTGCTTCTATTATTCACGCACTCTTATTTTTTGTTTTTTGTTTTTTTTATTTTCCACACATTCCCTTTTCAGTAAATTTTCCTTTTTAAAAATAGAAAATTACTCTTATTTTGACTACTTTCATATTTTTCCACTCTTCTCCTACTTTTTATATATTATTCATTACTCTCACTATTTCATTAAAGAATAAATCAGATACTCACAAAATATAAATTAGTCTAGGAAAAAATATTGTACGAACTATAACTTTTATTCACATTTTAAAAGTTAGTCTGTAGACAAAAATTGTCAAGAATCCGACTCAACAATCAGATACTCACAAAATATTCACTTTTATTCACATTTTTAAATTAGCCTTAGCATCCCACTCAACAATCACTTCAGCCCACCCAGCTTGTGCAGCCCATAAAACTGCCTCACGAATCGCTAAGGCCTCTGTTGTGCTGACTGAGAAACGTCCCTGTTCCCGGACACTTCTACCTGCTATGAACGAACCTTTATCATCCCTTGCTACTAATCCAAGTCCCCGTCAATCCCCATGCGAATTAACCGCCACGTCGACATTTATCTTTAAACGCCCATTCCCGGAGGCTGCCATTTGCCTTGTGTGCCATCACCTCCCCCGCGCGCTGCCCCCCCCCCCCCCCCCCCCCCGGAGCTAGCTTTCCAGTCACTCTGCTGAACCCGAGCTTCCTTCCACCCAGCCATCATCATTTCTCCCCTGGCTATTACACCCCTCCAATTAGTGCTAATATTCTTCCATGATTTATCATTTCTAGACTTCCATAAACTCCAACAAATCAACACAAATTGTTCCAGCTCTTCCTTGGAACACCTGCCGCTGACTGCATCAGCCCATGCTGCGAAATTTGTAGCCCCAACCTGCAAAAAAGATTTATTTTGGCTCCGTCACACCTCTTTTGCTAGCACACAATCCCGAAAAACATGCAGCGTACTCTCCCTGTCTACACCACACGTGCTACAAACCAGCCACGCCGGCACTCGTCTCTGAAGCAACCGCTCCTTAGACGGTAAACAGTCCGTACACACCTGCCAGAAAAAAGTTTTCATTTTAGGTGGTAGATTCAGCTTCCATACTTGGGTCCATGCCTGCCTATTTTCGACATGCGGTGAAAGCATCCGGTAGCAACTAAGAACTGAGTATTTCCCATTCTTTTCAGCCGCCCAAATCAATTCGTCCTTCCCGTGAAGTCCTTTTAATGGTATCCCCGAGATAGCTTCGCAATCCTCTTCATTAAAAATATCCCGCAAAACATCACAATCCCAATTGCTCCCATCCTCCTTCATTAAAGATTTCACCGTAGTATCTTCAAGTTCACTAATCATGCCTCCTGCCGTTCTCCCCCCTCCATCAAAAGGAATCCATTTATCTTTCCAAACACGTATGCTAGTACCATAGCCAATACGGAACATCAGCCTATCCCGAACCGCAGGCAATGCTGCGACAATACTGCGCCATATAAGAGAGGGGCTGCTCCCCACACCCGCCTCAAGCACCTCCCCCCTAGGAAAATATCTTGCCCGCAATATTCTACTAATAAAAGAGTTCGGTTGTTTAATAATACACCACACCTGCTTCCCTAGCATAGCAATATTAAAATCCCGAAGCCTCCTAAAGCCCATCCCTCCAGAGCTCTTAGGGGCATACAGATCGGCCCATCTCCACCATCTAATACCCTTGCCTTTGAACGCATGACCTCTGAATAACCTTCTCTTTTATTGAGGCATGGCCTGAATAACCGTTTTAAGAAGGACTTCTCTACCCGATCGAGATAAAAACCTGTTATTCCAACTCTGTATCCTCTGAATAACCTTCTCTTTTATGTACCCAAAAATTTCCTTTTCATTACGCCCCACCATGGATGGAAGCCCCAGATACTTACCGCCCCCTTTGTCCTCCGGTACACCCAGTATACTGGACAGATAATCCTTATCATCCCATGCCACATTTGCACTGAATCGAACACTTGATTTATCATAGTTCACCATCTGGCCCGACGCTTTAGAGTACATAGCTAACATTTCTTTAATGAACGTGCAATCAACCTCATTAGCCCTGAAAAAAGAAATTTGTCATCGGCAAACAGTAAATGAGATAAAGCCGGTGCTCCCCTGGCTATGCGAACACCCTGAATTTGTCTCTCGGCCTCCCCCACTCGGATAAGAGAACATAGCCTTTCAGCAATCATAATAAATAAATAGGGTGAGAGCGGATCCCCTTGTCTGATTCCCCGTGCCAGAATAATAGGGCCAACAATCTCATCATTAACCTGGATATTATAGTGAACCGTGATTACACACTGCATAATTAACTGAATCCAGCGCTCTGTAAACCCCAACCGATACATCATATTTTCCAAAAAAAAATCCATTCCACCCTGTCATACGCTTTGCCATATCAAGCTTCAACGCCACATATCCCACTTTGCCTTGCGTTTTCCGTTTTAAAAAATGCTGAACCTCAAAAGCAAGAATAATATTATCAACAATCGACCGACCCGGAATAAAGGCACTCTGGTTTTCAGCTATAATCGGGTCAAGCAACTTTTTCATACGATTTGCAAGCAGTTTAGCAAAAAATTTATAAGCAACATTGCAGAGCGCTATCGGTCGCCAATCCCCAATAGACTGAGGTTGGTCCTTCTTTGGTATAAGCACAATGGTAGTAGTGTCATTACATCCCTCCGGCAAACGTCCAGACCGAAAAATATTAGCACAAAAATCAACTACCGCCGGTCCTACCACGTCCCAAAAGGATTTTAAAAAACCTGGATTTAAACCATCCGGCCCTGGCGCTTTATCAGGATGCATGCTAAAAGCTGCCGCCTTGACTTCCTCCTCAGTCACCTCTCGCAATAGAAGGGAGTTCTGGTCATCAGTAATCATGCATCGAGACCCCCCCCCATGCCCTGCAATGGGGTTATCTCACTCTGTGAAAAGATGTGCTCAAAATACTCGAATACCATATTCCGCACTGCCCCTTTTTCAGTAACCCATTCGCCCGAACTCGCCCTTAATCCCTTCATCATGTTTCTTCTTTTGCGCTGCTTAACTGAATTGTGAAAAAATTTAGTATTCACATCCCCATGTTGTAACCAGAACTCTTTTGCCTCTGCCTCCAAAAATCATTCTGCTTCTCAAGTAACAGTAAATAATGCTCCATAGTTTTAGCATAATTAGCCAAACTAGCTACATTCGTCCTTCCCCGCAGATCCCCCGTCTTCTTTTTGCAGCCCTCCATTGGAAGCCCCAATGTAAGCTTCTCCCCCACTTGTCCAACTCTTCCACACAAAATGGAGCCTGGCATGTAATGGTTGGAACTCACAGTAGCCCCAAGCCCTTTCCACAATGCTACGACATTCTTTTTCTCTTAGCCAAAGATTTTCAAATTTAAAACTCCTTCTCCGGTTAACCTCACGTCTGCAAAATTTCACATACAAAGGCATGTGATCACTGTTGCTACTAACAACCGACGTGGCTCAAGCATCATCGAACATATTAATCCACCCTTCCGATGCTAGCACCCGATCATGTTTCACTTCAACCCATGCAAGTGTGCCTCTTCCCCTTTCCCAGGTAAATTGGTAGCCATCAAAAGGGAAGTTTATCAATCCACTACCCCAGACCGCGTCCCGAAATCCCGCCATCATCCACGGAGGCCGAGAGCATCTCCCTCGTTTTTCGTGTGCATGCATAATGTCGTTGAAATCTCCCACCACTAACCACAGGAGATCACTATCAGTTGCTAACCGTTTTAGAAGATCCCAGGACTCTCTACGCCGATCACTCTCCAGGAAACCATAAAACCCAGTAAATCTCCATGACATTTGATTTGGTCCGCCTGTCACTAATACATCGATGTGATTACGCGACGAACTCTCAATATTGATGATATGATCGTCCTTCCACAGCATGGCCAGCCCCCCACTTCGACCCACACAGTCCACGGCAAAAACTTGATGGAAGCCCAAACTTCTTCGTATGCTCTCCATTTTTGAACTGTCTGTCAGCGTTTCCATGAGGAAAATGATGGATGCACGATGAGTTGCTACGACATCAGCCAAAACTTGGACCGTAGCCAAATTCCCTAACCCTCGGCAATTCCAACTAACGCATCCCATCTCAATGCCGAAACGATATACACCCGACCAAGTTTGCACCAGCGAGGAAACAAAACTTCCCCACAAACGAGGGAGACAAACAAACTCCGGGATAAAACCCGGGACCAACTGCTAAAAAAGCATCGAGCAAGAAGAAAACTCACTGGATTAAAACCGAATAACCAACACCAATGGCGGTCTCATGCTGAAATGCGGTGGATCCACATCGCAGCGGCGGCTATTGAATTATTATTATTATTATTATTATTATTATTATTATTATTATTATTATTATTATTATTATATTATTATTATTATTATTATTATTATTATTATTATTATTGGCGGTATAGTCTATGTGGCACTTAAAGTGCGTGTGATGCACAACCACCTTCTATTGAATGCAATTTTTGGATTTAGAGGTAAACACATTTCTTCTCCACATTATCTAGGTCTAAGGTGATATTTTATTAATTGAAATCTAATAGCTAATTTAATGTGTATATATGGTACTAGGATTCGTGAGATATTAAGAATCAGATTGCCAAGCCTGAGCGTCTTTGATCGAGAGAATGCTTACAAGGTGCCGATCAGAGCAAGACGACTGAGGAATTCAATATAATCAAAACCATAATTACCATATTACAAAATAAGAAGTACGCTCATATACATAAACTGAGTGTGATAAGACAAAATTGTAGCTGACTAATTGGCTGAAGATGAATCGATTATATATTTATATCTAAGAAATTCCTAGAAAAGATTTGGTTGATTCTTTGGTATGAAATGGTCCAACAAAAAAGTGTTAGAAAAATACATTAAAATGTGTAGAACTTACCAGATTCAGTTCATTGGTTGATTCTAAGATATGGGATAGTCCAATCGATTACATCTAAGTAACACTCATCATCGGAACTGAAATTTAAAAAGTTTGCAGAAGATGAAAAATAGATCTGATTACATCCTTGAAGACTGAAGAATTGATGATTGGAGAAGGCAACTGTGCAGAGGAAGATAAACCGATTTCATTCGAGAAACTATAAAGGGATTAAAGTTTGTATAAACCTCAAATTTGGCAGCGGCTAGGTCGGTGTGTTTAGAAATGTGTCTGTATTGTTTTGGACCGGTTAAGAAATGATGATGTAGTGGTGGTCCTATTTTATTTTGATAGAATGAGCTTGAACTGACCTGGGGTTACAGTATGAGCTTGAATTTTAATCCAACTTAAAATTCTCAAATTGCAACGATCCCAAAAGAAGAAAGAAAGTATATATACACATACTATCACTCCCAAAATACTTAATCAAATCCTAAAAACATTTTGTTCACGATTTTATACTTTTATGAAAGTATTTTTAATCAAGAACATTTTCAATCATTTTTATATTATAAATAATATCCAATAAATATACTACGTATATAGTAAGTCAAAATTTTGAATTTTGCTAGGTATTTTGGGATGCATGTAGTACATTATAATGCTACCACATTTCCAAGTCAATTAGTGAATACAAAGACTTTGAGTCTTTGACTTAACTTTGACTAAACGGTAGAGTGCATGCATAGTAATCAAGCTAAGGGTGGAAATTTCTGGAGGAAATGAGATTTACACGTGTACATCTTATTAGTTTAGTTTTGCACGTACTCCTAATAACGTTTGTGAAATGGGAAGCGTATATAGTACAGCCGGCTGTACGGTGCCAGCCATACAGCCGGTGGCAAACTTGTAATTTTGGTGAATTTCACGGATTCTCTTAAATGAGCATTGAGTCAATTTTGATGAGCACCGAACTTGTTCTTTTGAGTATTAGAAGCCTAACGGTGAGCATTAGTGATATATGCTTCATTCCTCATATATCACATTCTGTTTATCATTTTTCGTTTATTAAAGTCTTAAATTATGTCTATAATCAATTTCATTTAATTTCAATATGTGTCTAATGAATTAACATGTGCAACCTTTTTAAATGAGCATAAAACAGTACCAAATGAGCATACATAATTACAAAATGAGTATCAAAATATTAAAAAACTCATTTGTGTGTGTTCATTATTTTTGGGCGTTATACTCATTTGAGTTTAAGATAAAACTCATTTTGAAACATGCATGAATATGACATTTTAAAATGAGTATTGCACTAACATCAAATGCGTATACATAAATTAGGGAATGAGCATTCAAAAAACTCATTTAAAATGTCTACTGTGCTCATAATTTTATCTGTTATGCTCACATCTGAAGAATTACATATATTCTCCGTTATGCTCATAAATTTTTTGATATGTCCCCAAAGTTGGAAGCCAGAATGAGAACGATCTGCGGAGGAAGACCAGCGGAGGAAGATCTGCGGAGGAAGACCAGCGGAGGAAGATCTGCAGAGGAAGACCACCGGAGGAAAACCAAACAGAGAGCGAAGATCGAGAACCATCTGCGGAGGAAGACCAGCGCCTTGCGATTTGCGATGGCAGCCAGAGCCCTGCGATTTGCGATCTAAAACGCCGGTTGTACCGTGCGCACGGTACATCCGGCTGTACGATGGAATTTACCTTGTGTCATGCGCTACACCTGTCACGAAAAAAATGATTCGGGTTTTATTTATTTAATACTTTAGTTCTTCTACATTTCTTAAATAAGCGTAACACACTAACACTTCATTTTTCACGTTTACCGATGCACGATTTTGATTATAATTATATTTTATTACGTATACGAAGTGTCACACATTAATATAATTTTTATAACATTTTATACTAATAAATTTGATTATGTATTAGTATAAATTCATGATCAAAGTAAGATAAGATGCGTAAATAGTGCAAATATCACAATGTTGAAACTATTAAATAATGTTAGGTTTCCTTTTTCGTCAAATGGGCATACATATTTTTATACTTCATTCTTTCATATGAAGTAAGCAAACTTAATAAAATTGGTAGCAATTGCTCATATTTAGGTAATATTAATTAATGTCTATTTTGACATTATCAGACATTAAACATGATAATATTTTTCATACTTGGTAGCAATTACTCATATTTAGATAATAAAAACATATTACTTCTATTTTGAAATTTCAAATTGTTTGTACTCTTATTTTTGGAATTCTCCCATATTTTTTATAATTATGTTCAATATATTTTTTACAAAATAACGGATACCATCTCAATTTGTATAAAACCTGTATTATTTAATGAGTAAATAATACTTCCTCCTTTACATTTTGTGCACGTCTCTTATTTTCCATTTTCGATTGTCTCAACAAAATAAGTGTCTTATTCCGTTTTTGGAATGAAATATTTGATATACATCATTTACAGGGCCGTAGACGGGGCTGTGCAAAGCGTGCCTTTACTAGGGGTGGGATTTTGGAACCGGGAACCGCAGAGCCAGTTGGAACCGAACCGGATGTTGTTAACGGTTCGGTTACAGGTTCCTATGAAAAAAAATATGTATGGAACCGTTAAGGAACCATTATTAAAAAAATGAAAAATAAAATAGTATTAGAAGTAGTAATAATAATAATTTAATAGCAATAATAACCAACACACAACAATAATAATACAATAAAAGATATTTAACTAACAATTCTAATTTAATCAACGAAAACGAAGTAACAAATATTGTACATGAGGTTGATATAATACATTAAACTCATTTTTACAAATCAAGTTTTGTTCCATGCATCACATAAATTTTATTAATTAAAATGACCCAAATAACTTATAGTTGATTGCACATATTTTACTTTACTATTTTCATGATATTTCTAATTATTAGATTTATACATGCTACTAGCAAGTAGAATGTAATAATGTTTTTTATATCTATACATGTGAACATAATCTAAACTTCATGGGGAACATGATCACAAATTTTCATCAAGAAAATTCTACTCAAAAGCACCTCAAGAACGGGACTCTATATGTACGTATAAAGTAATTTTTAGTTTATAAATATAAATATAGTAATAATAAGAGAAACCATTTGAATTTTGGAATTGAAGCAACTTTAAATGAAAAAGACGGAACGACCCAATTGAAACAAAAGCAAATGAATGATTAAAGGGATAAGGGTCAGTTTGGTCCTCGAAGTTGCAAAAAAAGGGTCAAATAAGTCCTTATATAGAAAATTCTGTCCGGATGTGCCATTTGAGGTGGCTCCCGGTGGAATTTTTTGATGAAATTTTTTGAGCATCTTATTCATTAAGTCTAGTTTACTCATACCAAATTTCAAATAAAAATTCAATCGGGAAGACATTCAAATGAATTCTTGAAGATAACTGTACCGTTAAAAGCGCAGTTATCTTCAAGAATTCATTTGAATGTCTCCCCGATTGAATTGTTAGCTGAAATTTAGTATGAGTAAACTAGACTTAATGAATAAGATGATCAAAAAATTTCATAAAAAAATTCTATCGGGAGCCACCTCAAATGGCACGTCTGGACAAAATCTTCTATATAAGGACTTATTTGACCCTTTTTTTACAACTTCGAGGATCAAACTGACCCTTTACTCAATGATTAAATAACACTTCCGATTTCTATATTAAGTTAAATGAAAAGGAAAAGTTAAATAATCCTTCCAATTTCCATGTCAAGGTGGCATTTGCACGATTCACCTGCTTCGATTTCTTGACTTCTCACATTCCCTACAAACTTGGGCAATTCTCTTTGAGATTATTTCCAAAATTGTTGATTAATTGACTCAATTATTCTAGCCATCCAATCAATTGTAAAATCTTCACTTTTTATTTTATTTCTTAGCTTTTTGGGTAATATCATATTTCTTAATTCATGTTTTTAATTTGATTCATTTCCATTTTAATTTTTTTTACTGATTTTGATTGTTTATGTTCGAAAATATGATCATCTCTCAATCTCACATTTGGTCATAATTTTTTTTGGGTTATTTTTTGAAGGTTGATTTTTTTATTTTAATTATATTTATTTAACATAAGGCCATTTTACCTGATTTGTATCGGGCCTCCTAATCTGTTGAGCCGGCCCTGATCATTTCAATTTATCATATTCAAACATCAACTACATATTTTACTTTTTCAACAAATTTATTGATAATTACGACAAATGAAAATAAGACACATAAATAAAACGGAGGTAATAATGTTAGAAGTACATGGGATACGTGGATACCGTAACATGCTTACATATCAGTCCATGAAGGAATTTATGGGTGAGCTGCTTATGACAATGAGTAATTCTAGGGGTACACACTTTTTGTGTACAAAAAGTGTGTACCCCAATCTTTTTTCTATGACAATCCCACAAAGGCCACAAGGCAAGCAAATCACATGCCAAAGTTTGGGAAATTGGTGGCCAAATGTGCATTATTTGATGCTAAATCAATACGTTACTTGATAACGGGACAGTACCATTTTAGGTCCGCCATCAAATGGTGTCAATTGATATTAAGTCTAACAGTATTATTTCAGTTGACTAATGATCGAAGTAAAATTTAATGATATTAATCATATATAAACAAAAAGAATGCATCCCATAATAAAAAGGATGACACTTCATCTCTGAGGAGTCCCTACTTACTAGTGGACACTTATATGAGAAGACGTAAGTTGAGCTTTGATGACATTCTGATGATAAAGATTGGGGTTTCATCCAAAATCATTGTTTAGAGTTGAACTCGAGACCTCTCCCTTATAGCATTCTCTTCCTACCAGGTGAACTAAGCCCCTGGTGGCCCGTAATGCATCCCAAAGCAAAATATGTAAGCTAAGGATGCATCTTTACCCCATTCACAGGTGCACTTTAACCCTCAGTAATGCATCCTCACATTTAGGGCTACACAAGAATAACTCGAACCCGCATAACCCGGCCGACCCAACCCTACCCGGCCACTTATAGCTAGGTATTTGATTTAAAAAAAAATATATGGGTAGGGTTGCGAAATCAAAATCTCAAAACCGATAGTAGTTGACCCGGCAGAAAGATTGTAGGGAATGAGATGGAGAGGTCGATAAAGATGTGAGAGTAGAGTAAGGAAAAATGTGTTCAAGAAATTGAACATCCCTGCTAATGTAGACACGGCCAGTCCGGGGGTCCAGGCAACGATATCCTTTATACCCCGAAGCATACCCAAGAAAAAGACAACGCACAGACCGTGGAGATAACTTATT